GATCAGATGTCATAAGAATCTAGTAGACTAAATACTACTGGTATATTTTTGCCCATTTATATAATTTTTTAATAAAAAGCTTTTGCCTGGAATGAATTTGTAAACAAAGTTTATTGTATGCCGAGCGGTTAGATATAAAAAACGTATGCTTGGCAACCATGCAAAAGAAATATACATCGCAACTTTGTTAAAACGTTAATAGGTGGCGATAGCAGCATACATAATAATTTATTGACTTATTTTAATATAACATAAATAAATTGTTTAAAGTATATAGTTATTCATACAATAGTATTTATATTATTGTGCTAATATTTTTATATAAAACATTTCTAGTTTTATATTTTCTTAATACCATTAGTAGGGCCACTAATTTGTGTTATAATGACTACCGACTGATGCTTCAGTGCTTCAGACCAAAAACGAATCGAACGATCTTCGCATTTCTGTTTATCCGCATACTAAATCGAGTAAACAGTCGTTTATCTATTGGAGCAGAAACCTGTTGTTTTTTGTATTTAAGAGGGTTGGTTTTTTTATTTAGAGTGGAAATGCAAAAAGTTTCTGGTTATTTATTTATATTATAGAAACGATATGTTTGTTGTAAAAGTTTTGGAAAAAAATTGTTTTAAGTAGGTAATCTTTGCAAAATAAAATTTGATCAGGACGGATGTTTGGACAAATCTTTGTTTTAATGTTTGTTAGCGAGTCTACAAGAAAACTTATAGAAAATAAAAATATTTTTGCAATCCAAAGAAATAAGGAAGAAGTTGTTCGGTTACTAGGGGCTTGTGTTTAAACACGAAAGAGTTTTGATAATATTTGTTAGTTTTCTTATAAACTTCTGTTTCCTCTGCCCTTCTATTAACAGGGTCCCTACATACTCTTCTTCTGTATCTTGCCCATCGTACTACGTCTTGGATGTCACATATCCTCTCTTACTTCTTCATTACTTTTACAGTCATATAAGACAGGTCTTACGCATATCTTATAGATTTTTACTTTACTCTTGTTATCCATATTTGTATATGGACCGATAATTCTTGGTAAAGTAGGTATATATCGCTCAGTATTCCGTGAGCTCTTTTAATCCATTTACAACTTGTCTCTCCAGTTTGCAATTTTCCATCTTTGCTGTATCCTCTAGTAGGTAGGTAGTCCTTTCCATTTTATTTTTGGTCTTTCTTTTGGTCTGTCGAGTAACTGTTTGATATGTTTATTTGGAAAGTTCCCTAATCAGCGCATCGCCTCTAGGGCTGGTGAAGGCACTTTTTCGTCTGGGAATGTATCGTAATATTGAATATCGCAATATAAATATTTGGTTTATGTAGATATAGTTAGTCTAATTTGTACCATCGAAACAGACCGAATCAAATAAAACAAGTAACATTTGTGTATTTTAATACAAAAATAATTTTTTTGTAATAGATATCTAATTTTGTATTTTTTTCAAACCAGGAGTCTCTTGCGAAAATTAACCGTAGGACATTCCTAACGTAATATTTGGCGACCGTGACAGGACTTTTATACGGGTGTGCGTAAAAGTTAGTTATTTTCGCTTATTTTAGTGCAAACTTTTTTCCGGCGAAAAATTTTGTTTTTGTCGTGAGGTTCAGCCAAAGTTAACCTTTTTGATCGAAAAATGGAATCATATAAAAAACGCAGAACGGTGCTTCCACCGTCTTCCACGGTACGTCCACTGGCTGAACCGGTGGACACTCGGCCCTGGCAGAAAATAAGCGTACAGTCGGAACTTTTACAAGTAAAGTACAATGAGCTTTGTGAAGTGGAAAGTGCGGTAGTTGAAAGTATATTGGAAGATGCTTCCGAAGAAGAGTTAATCAGTGAGATGGAGGCAAAAGATAAATATAGTGCAAGGTACTTTGAACTTAGGTACAAATATGATGGCAGACCAGGTTTAGTAAGTTCAGAGTCATCGAGTATAAAAGGTAAGCGCAAATTTAAATTACCTCCAATCCAGTTCATGAAATTTAATAGAGACTTGAAAGATTGGTTTTCTTTTTGGTCACAGTACATGACGATCCATCAATTGATTTGACTGATAAGATAGCTTATTTCAGACAAGCCACTATGGAGTCTAGTAAGGCCAATCGATTAGTGGAGAGTTTTTCTGCAGTAACCGACAATTATCAGAAATATTAGAAATATTAAGATCAAGTAGTTAACATTGATAGAGAATATGGAATGAAACTTAATAATAAGAAGACGAAAATTATGATCATAAGCAAAAACCAAGTACAGATGCAAAATTTATGGCAGACAAAGAGTTATTGGATAGAACAGAAAAAATAACATACATAGGATGCAACATCACAGACAGCTGGGATCACTCATACGAGATTAAATGTAGGATCAAAAAGCAAGCAGTGCCTTCCAACAGATGAAGAAAGTTCTCTGCAATTTATCCGTGAACTTACATCTCCGACTCAAAATCTTAGTTGTTATGTATTTTCTGTTCGTATGTATGGAGCAGAGGCATGGACACTCACTGATGCGTCTTGTAGACGGTTGCAGTCTTTCGAGATGTGGTGCTATCGTAGCATGCTCAGAATATCATATGGACATTATAGAACTAACGACACAGTAATGCAACGTTTACAAAAAGAACCTGAAGTCTTGAAATCCATTACAGAAAGAAAGTTTGCATTCTTCGGACATATAATGAGAAATGAAAATAAATACAGAATCCTACTATTGATATTAGAAGGGAAAATAGAAGGAAATAGAGGACCAGGACGCCGCCGAATATCCTGGCTTAAGAATTTGAGACAATGGACAGGTATTACGACCACAGACCTATTTCGAACAGCTGCAATAAAATACGATGGGCCATTGTGATTGCCAACAGCCATAGAGGATAGGCACTAGCAGAAGAAGTACCGATAATGACTCAAAATTATTCAGAGTTGGCAGTCTAGGTTTGGCAGAGAGGATCTTCAGATTGTAGTTTACATTAGAGAGCTCTTAAAGTTAACCTTGAGTCGAGTTTCTAGTAGTTGAAAGCCGAAATATTTATTTTGAAGCTAGTGCAGAACGAAGCGTTCCGTTCAGATACGAAACTAATTTCCTCGTTAAACAGGTTTTTCGATGAATTTGGACTTATAAGTTTAAAAACTCGCATTACTGAGAGACTTGACACGGAAGATTTTCGTCTGTCTATCTTACTTCCAGGTGAACATTTTATAGTGCGTAAGTTAATTTTAAGCCTACACAAAAGCTCTTGGTATGAAGGCACACAAGGACTTTGTTTCGCGAAAAATATTGGACTTTAGGGGGTAGACGGATTGTGCGGTCCATTTTAAAAGAATGTGGTGTGTACAAGAGACAAGAAGAGACATTGTTCGAAGTACAAACGCCTTCATTGCCGGCTGATAGAGTTCGGGATACTACAGCTTTTGAAATTTCCGGAGTGGACTTAGCGGGACCTCTTTACTTGAAATCGGGTGAGAAAGCATGGGTTTGCTTGTTCATTTGTGCCATTTATCGTGCAGTTCATCTGGAACTCGTAATCTCGTTGTCAACAAATGCCTTTATTCAAGCCTTTCATCGCTTTGTTGCAGAGGACAATGGAGAATAGTTTATAGTGACAATGGAACAAATTAGGAGAGAGTTAGAAACGAACAAATAGGAAAAAAATATCAATGATGACATAGAAAGAAAACAATTAATCTGGATCGGACATGTTAAAAGAATGCCAGAGTACAGATGGCCTAGAAGAGTACTGGAATGAATCCCTCCTGAAAAAAAAAGAGGGAACGAGCACGGAGAATTTGGCTCAACGATATTGATGAAGCAATGGCGGCAAGATAATTAAGAGGCAACTGCATATGACAGAAAAAGATGGAAATTGGGAGCGGAGAAGCGGACACAGCCGTAATCAATCCTTTATTATATGTATATGTGATTTCCGTCCTTGTCGCGATATTTCCTCAGTTTGACATTTGTGTAATTATACAATAATGTCAACAACATCTCTAGAAAAAAATTTAAGCCACTTGTTCCATCTGTGTAAAAGATCTTGTGATAATAGGCAAATAAGCTAAACTGATCGCGATTTCGCATAAGCATAACGGAGATCTCCCTACTACCTGAAGGTACTGTAGGAAACCACTCGTTTGGATCAATAGTGAGGAAAATATGAAGCGTTGTTTGAACTGCGGAATCCGAGGGACTCCCGCCACGACGACGGTTAAGAGGTAACATATTTTATGTAGAATGAACCTTCTTTCAGAAGCAAAGGCTGAAGCGATAGGCGATTTTGGATGTCAGTTACACGCGCGAAATCAATGTTCAATAAAATTTGTATCAGCTCGACGGTAAAAATTAGATCTTTTGATCCGAGCGTACTATTCACAAAAATCAAGATGCTTTTTATAGGTGAAGAAAGCAGCTTTCGTATGCAGTTTTTGTATTGATATTAAGAGATTAAGGGAACCATAAACAAAGGAACAATCTGGGAAGGGGCGATTATTTTTTATTACTTTAGCATCATTTTTAAGAGGCTGTTAGGATAATAAAGCCACTATATTTGTAAACTCTTTATAACAAAAAGATTTGTCAAATATGAGACGCAATCAAATTTTATCTTGCAAAATTATCTACGTAAAACCAATTTTTGCTACATAAATTTACAACAAATATATGGTTTTTATATGTAATATAAACAACAGAAACTATTGTAATTATTGTGTTTAATTTCTCTATAAAACCTACAAATTGTCTCATGTTATTATACCTCTTGCTCTGGGACCGCATGTGGACAGAGGGACGTTGACATCATGATAAATCTTCGGGTTTCGGTTAACTTCGATGCAGACAGGCTGGTTATTAGCTGAAATTTTCACACTTTCAGGTTATCAGATTTCAGAAAGCAATATACTTTGTTTCAGATACGAGAACAACTAAAGAACCCTATCTATTGTATAAAACCGGTTGGTGTGCTGCCGATAGTTGTATTTTCATTTACAAACATTTTTAAAATGGACTTCGAAGTTTATGATGAATGTATTAACAAAAAGCTAAAAACAGAAAACATTGAATTAGACGAGAATGTTGAAAAAACATTTAAAAAGCCAGATAGATGTAATTTATGCAAACAGTTTTCTGACTCTGTTTACTTTTACAGCGGCCATCCTAATAATTCAAATGAAGAATTTATAGCTTTAACTGATCCCAAGCTTTCTGTATTTACAGGCAATGAGGAAATATATAATGAAGAAGATGCTCCCACACATCAGGTAAGGTGTATTTGCTTTTCTATATACTTTGAAAAGGTATTGAGAAATTACTATCCATGTATTTATACTGTTTCCAATTCATGTATTATAATGAATGTATAATAAATATTGGTATTTTTTTAAATGTAGCATATCCTATAACTTTTGTAAATTACATTTTATATCACCGTTTTACAAAATTTCTCGAAGATGAAAAATGTGACAATAAACATGACAGTAATTTTCAATAACTGAACAAATTTACTCGGAATCTTGCATTCGATTATTATCACAGCAAATGTTACAGTTATTTATATTTTTACTTATACCTATTTCAGTTAGATTTGTTAGTATTAGAAGTTTAGTATTGTCAGTTAACTATATTTTTGTTTTCGACGTTGATTACTATTAATATTTGCATCCTCCAACAGCATCCAGTTAAAAATTAAGTTTGCAAGTTCAAGTTTTAAGTTTTCGAAAAATACCACTGCTGTCCAGTGTGCACATTTTCGAATTTTTAGTCATTCTTGTATCTTTCTTATATTTTAAGTAATTTATTGTGTGTGTAATTTTATTTTTTACATGTTAAATAGTTAACCTGGCTGACTAACCTTTAAATCTGGGCCAAATGCGCGAAATTGTTACTATTACTAATTAATCTCTTACTACTACTAATTGTTTACTTAAAACAATAAAAGAGTTTACTCTAATTTTATGGTCAATGACATTTGATACTTCAAATTTTTGCTAGACTTGGGAAATATTGAAACTCCTGAATTATACAGGGTGAGGCAGATAAACGGCCTATTAGAAATATCTCGAGAACTATAGGTAATTGAATCTTGAAAATTGGAATGAAGGAGTTTTAAAGAGTGACCTATTTAATGAAAATAGGTTCATCTATTTGCTACTTCCGATTGTACCGGAAGTTTCTTCCGGTATACCTAATAACTTCGTTTTTTTAAAGGGACACCCTGTATATTTTGAATTTTAGAAATATTCACGTTATTCTGAATATATTTTGTTAATACTTCTATATACCTATTATGAACCATTTTTAAGTAATAATGGTTTTTATAATATATGAAAATTACACTTCTACCATGTATATAAAGTTCAATATCCTCCTAATTTGAATAAAAGTTTAAATTCCGTAGGAACTTATTAGTAACATACAGCATTATTGTTTACAGTGTAAAGTTGCCTTTTTCATTATACAGGATGCTGCCAAAATTGGCATAAAACTGGCATCTTTTCGCCTCTTTCCTTTTTTCAAATGGCCACCCTGTTTGTGATTCATTATTTTAAAATAATACATTTTTCACTATCGATCTGTATTAGTACTATTCCCTCTACCTATCTCTTGTTGTCAAATAAATTAACTTTATTGTCACAAAAAATTTATTTATCAAGAAGCCTGTAGAATACTCTAACAAAAATATCAGTTATTGTTAAAGTTTAATATTAACCTTGTTGTATGCCATTGGGCTACAATCAGTGGCGCACCCAGAATTTGTCAGAGGGGGGGGGGTTTGAATTTTGTTTATACTACCTCCATTTTGAGTTCCTAAAATTTGGGTTTTAGTTTAATTTAAAGTACTAAAGATAGCAGTATTCAGGTATTTAATATCCTGCCTACCAACTAAAACCACCCTCTCTTACTTATGCGCAGTTAACTGTCGCACGTACCGTACTCCGAAAGTGGGGTGGTCGCTGTAAGCATGACGACATTTTTTGAACACTCCTTTCTCTTATCTAGATCTTATCTATTGTTCTGAAGCTATTTTCTTGTACCATTTTAAAGTAATTACTATTTTACTGCGAATAAGCCAAAATTGAAGGTTAAAATAAGTTTATTGACATGTGACATTCATCCAACTTGTAAATAAAATACATTTTGGAGACGGCTATCGTCTCTCATTTTCCACGATACGATACAATATGATATGATACAATTCCACCATTGCTTGGAATTGTATCATACGCATTTTCTAGGTCTGTGAAGGCTAGATGTATTTCCGTACTAACCGCTATTTTTTTTTTCTATTAATTGTTGGAGTATAAACAAGTTATCAGTGCAAAATCAAATAAGTTTAAAATGGTAATTAGATCTTATCTCTATCGTTGGCCCAGTTGGTGTTTCTCTTCTTCTTCTTTTTTTAATGACTATTTCACTATTTCACTATTTCATCCCTCCGTACTTCCTGTCATCTTCACGATCATCTCTTCTACAGTCACAGGGTTCATACCTACTTCTTTATACATTCTGCTTTTCTCCACTGTAGATCTTTTACACTCCAGCATTGTGTGAGTAACAATGTCGGAATATTCGCAGTATAAGCATTTTTCTGTATCTGTTTTTCTGAACCTATGAAGATACGCTCTAAAACAGACAATCTACCCAGTCCCTTAGGCTCGGGATCAGCATCTTGTTCCACTGGGCAACATCTTCCTTGTTGTTCCACTCTTCTTGCCATTTTTCCATTGATCTTTCCGTTTCTTCTTTTTTATAGCTGTTGTCAAATGCTCTCTTCTCTCATAGATATGTCTCTTTTCTACTGTTAATACATGCAGACTCGTTCTGTCTACTTTTGCTATAAGTCTAATATTAGGTATCTTATCTAAATATAATAAAAAATATTATTAATTATTTCGTATTTATACAATAACTTATTGTGTTCTACATATTTAAAGTGGTAATTTAATTATTCACATAGCGTTTTGAATTTTTTGTATTGTGTGTAAAAGACAAGTTACATTTTCCTACTATTCTTTATGTTTTTTTTATTTTATATGTCCTGCGGGGGATTTAACCCCCAAACATCCCCCTGGGTGCGCCACGGTTGCAGTTATATAATAATTTGCCCAATTTTCTTGACAAAATAATTTATCATTCAACGTTCATTTAGATATACAAATGATGATTTTTTAAATTTAATTATAATTTACGTTGAGAGTAACAGAATAGTATCCAGAACTTGACGTGGTTTTGATGAGAACTATCCTGAGAATCCTCGACCAAATCATAGAACTGTAAAAAGTTTGTTGAACAACTGTTATAAGTTTGGTTAGTAAAATGATCTACATCGATAATAAAGACTTAGAAATAGATATCCTGGGTATTTTGCAGCTAATCCCCATTCATCCTTACGGTAATGTGAGCAATTGTTACAGGTATTGACTCAAATAATTCAGACTTTTAAAAAACATCATTGGACTCTTTATTTGTGTACACTAGCTCAATATTTACATTCTGAAATTTATGTAAGACCTGTAGAATTTTGTGAATGGCTTTTAATGAAATGCCAAGATCAAGATTTTACGAAAAAAAAAAATATTTGATGTGATTAATAGAAGTTTACAAAAAATGGTATATTGAACCGCCATAACAGTCACTTCTGGACTGATGAAAATGCTCTGTTCACGTGCGATAGTAAATTTCAAGCATTCTTTTCGTTCAATGTTGTTTATGCCGTGAAAAATAATAAGATAGTCGCTCTCATGATTTATGACGAAAATTTAAATGGAGAGCCTACTGCAACATTTTACGGCAAGTAATTGTACCAGTACTGCACGCTTTATATAATACAAGGGCTAATGAGGCTTGGTTTCAACAATATGGAGCACCGGCTCACAATATTCGAGGAGTCAGTATATTGCTTGATGAAATAATATTAGCGATAGACAGATAATAAAGATCCGTTTCTCTGGTCATCAAGATCACGTTGTCACCGTTAGATTACTATATTTGGGGATATATTAGAAATAAGGTGTTTCTGAACTTTCACTACTGAAGAAGCTATAATAAATACAATCCTTTAAGTTCTTAACAAATAAATGAAGAATCAATATCAAGAGCCACTAATAAAAATCTGATAAACAGAGTTAATAGTGATATTTAAGTTAATAAAAGTAAAAGATGTGTCGTTTCCCAACAACAAAATCAAAATGGTATCGGTTCACAACATTATAATAATTCAATACCTTCTTCTTAACTCCAACACCTCTACAGCGAGCCAGCTGCACTAACAGTACTTAGAGGTCCTCAAAAAGTACTATTTAAACGACATGAGTATTACTGTATACATTTTTTATATTTTTAGCTCACTAGCTTTACTGTTTATGACAAAAATGGCCACTTATGCCATTTTGATTCTGGATTGATTGAAAAAAATGTTTCGCTGTATTTTTCTGGATACATTAAACCTGTTTACGATGAAAATCCAAACGCAGATAATGGAATTCCTGCCCATGATCTTGGACCAATTGATGAATGGTGGATGGCAGGCATGGATGACGGTAATTATTCTTAATGCTTTATTTGTTAATATTTTATCTCGATAGTTTCAGTGGAAGGAAATATTAGGGTTGGATTTACCACTCAGTTTGCTCAGTATTATTTAATGGAACCATCTGCTCAATACCAACCGATATTTAATAAAATTAAGGAGAAAGTCCGGCTATCCAAGTATGTAATAGAATTTCTCAGTGATCATCATTGGGAAAATCCCAAGTATGAAGACTTGGTAGAGAACATTGAAGGAAGTGGAGAATATGCAGATGTAGAGGACACATTACTACAACACGCACAGTTTATTTGTGATCAGGTATGAATCTTGTACCTAAAAAATATTGTCGCAAAGTAAAAAGCATTTATTTAAACAAGTATTAAATCCGTTTTTTTATTTTTAGGTACTAAGCTTTGATGAAAATATTACCGAAGATGAAAAACCCCTAATAGCACTGCCATGTATGAGAGCTTTAGTATCAATGGCAGGTGTGTCATTCAAAAGTTTAAAAAAGATTAAACCTGTCAATAAGGTAAGTATTATATAGTTTATATATTTATGAGACTCGTCGTACGGTGGTCGTACATAGTATATGTAGAAGGTTCTTGCTTCTTAAGGGAGATGTGTGTTTTAATCCTGGGAAAACTAAACGTCCAGTATATAATTTTTAATAGTAACATAAAAATACGCGGTTTATTTTATCAATATATTAATACATAAGCGTTCCATTCTCGCAGTTTGATCCTAGATATTTAAATTTTTCAGTCTTCATTTTATGAAGACTTATCCGGAGTTACTAAAGGAAATAAATGTACCTATACCCAAGTTATCATCATCATCATCAACTTGTACGCGTCCACTGCTGGACATAGGTCTCTCTTTTCATCAGTCTCTGTCTTGTTATCGTCCAGTTCTAGGTTGCTAAGTATTTTGTCTTACCTAGGTTTGTTTTTAATCCGTTTTTGTATTCCTATTTCAGTTTTCGGAGCATACAAGGTCTGGCTATTAAATAATGAGACTGCTTATGAAAAAGAGTTTTATTTTAAAAATGATTCTACAATCGAATGCTCTTCTTCAATATATTCCCCTTCCCTCACCACATACCGTTCGATTCGTTTTTTTCCATTGGTCAAAGCAATACTGGAACTCTTCTTTTGTTAGAGCTTTAAGGAGCTACGCCGTTTTTCGCTTCACCTCTTCCATCGACTCGAACCGGATTCGTTTTAAGGCAGACTTTATGTTCGGAAACAGGAAAAAGTCACAGGGTCCTAAATCAGGCGAGTACGGCGGAACATTCGAGCACTGGAATGTTTCTAGCGGCTAAATAACGCTAAATAACGCTAACTTGTCCCGGTGCAACATCCACGGCTTGTTTTTTCACAACTCCGGCCGTTTCTTACGAACTCGCTTTCGCAGCGTTGCCAAAGCTTTCAAATAGTAAGTTTGGTTTACAGTTTGACCTTTGGAACCCAATTATCATCACGATGCCGTTATTGTCGAAAAAAAAAACGATTAGCATGGCTTTAAATTTTGATTTCGACATCCTTGCTTTTTTCATTCTTGGCGTTTTCCAGATTGTCCATTGTCCAGATTGTCCAAATTTTCCAGATTTTTCCAGATTCTTGGCGATGCAGGAGTTTTCCAGATTGTCCATTGTCCAGATTTTCCAGATTTTGACCCTCTGGAACCCATTTAATCATCACGATGCCATTAATGTCGAAAAAACGATTAGCATTAGTTGGAATTTTTTTAATTTAACGAGAAATTTCACATTAATCCGTTGCTCATTCGTACTGGAATAGTAGAAACTTCCATCTATCCAATGCTGCATTCGTTTCCCACTATTTCCTTCTAGGACGCCTTCTGCGCGCGCAGTCTTAGCCAGACCTCGTATATGCCAGATCTTCATCGTCTTGAGTACTCTCAACTTGGTCATCTGCGAAACTTAGTATTTAGAAGAAACTGATATTCCCATAGTTTCGGATTTCCTTTTCCATGATTTTAGAATTTGTTCCAGAAAGATTTTGAACAGGGTTAGATATGTAGAAAACCTCTGTAATAAGCTTTGTGTGGTCTTTAAATCGTTTGAGTGTTTACTGAAAATGAAAAATCGTAGAAAAGTTGAAAACATGAATCATGATTATCATACGTATTTATATCTATTTTTTTTTAATTTAGATCAAAAAAGAGAAAAATACTAACATGAGTAAAGCTGTAACCACCAAACTAGTTCACGATATATTCGAGTATTTCTTTTCCGATCAAATGGATGCTAAAATTGTGGAAAAAGGCCCCAAAAAGAAGCGATGTGGTATTTGTGAAGCTTGTCAGTCGCCTGATTGTGGAGAATGTAACCATTGCAGGGATATGGTCAAGTTCGGAGGTCCAGGAAAGTTGAAACAAGCATGTAAACGGAGAAGGTAAGACATGTTTGCTGTTGTTTTCGTTACAAATATTTTTATAGTTTATATCATTATAAATAGTACTTTTATACAAATGCTTGTTCAGGTGTATGCACATGGAAGTAATAGACGCAGAAGTATCAGACAATGAGGATGAAAAAGACGTTACGTGTGAGTTGAAACATAAAAAAATTAAACATTTGTCTACCAAAATTATACACACTGTAAAATGGAACGATGAAATTGAAGAAAAATATAAAGGGGACACTTGTTACTCGTCAGCTACTGTAGGTAAGTCCAAATTTTATATGTTAAATGTGATATTGTGGATATTCATTCATAAACCAGCAAATTATCAAAAAGGGGACAAATGTTATCAAAACTTTAATGATAAAAAGGGGTATAATACACAAAATAAAAATAAATTAAACAGCTGAAAAGTTTAGGCAGTGATTTGAATGTTGAAAAGGCGCGAAAAAGTTTTTTTTTAATTTGTGGCAAAATTTGACATTGTATAAAAAATTCCGAATGCGAAACTTGTAGATAATATAAAAATCTACAAATTTTTTAACATAAACTAAAAATTTCCGACAAAAATGAAGAAAAGCGTCTTTTTTTCGGTGTTTTTAATTTTTATTTTCATTTCCGTAAAAGTTAGGTATTTAATGTTAATGAAACTTAATGAAAATATAACTTCGTATGATCTTAATTATTACAATCTTTTTTAGAAAACAAAAGTTTCGGAGATATTCGTCTTTTTCTCAAAAATATACTCTTTTAAAAAAAAATCCATGCTATAGTTTTCTTTTGATTTTTGCTCTGGCTCATTTTCTTCGTTGAAAAATGTTTCGTTTTTACCCTTCTACAAGGGGTATTTTAGGGGAAAGCCTGGGGGTAGAAGCGGTATCTTTTTAAGGGACCCAAGATTAATTTTTTCGGCAAACGGGCTATGTAACAATGTAATTAAATGTTAACTATGTAATTTTAATAAATGATGTTACATTAAGCAAGTTCGGATTTTGATAAATATTATTCCTTACTTACGTTGGAATAAAAGAGGAAACTTGGAATGGAAAAACCAGAAAATGGAGAATTTGGGATGGAAAACCAAGAAGATAAATATGTATAATTTGGTGGCACGATGACACAAAAACATATCAAAGCAAGTCGTGTAAGCAAGTAAGAGACAGGAATGCAATTAGTTAAAGTAGATGTTTCCAATTTTGGACGGAAAAAGGCTAAAGAAGAAAATACTGGAGTAGAACATTTGCAAATAATTTGCGCTATTGATGCTGTGATATCAGTAAGTTGAAAATAGGTTGCTAGTACAACTTAAAATAGCCTGGTATAGAAGTTGTGATTTATTCACCGGAAATAAAGTCGGTAAATATTCTGTTGTGCGTGTTGAATGGTCCTTTGTAATCAAAATAAATAGTTGACATGATGTTTTAGGTGATTTTATGGTTCAAATTGGAGATTACGTAATGGTGAAATCCAAACGTCAGAAGGAACCATCTTACATCGCAAGAATTACACGAATGTTTTATAAGTCTTCAAAGCAATATATGTTTCACGGCCTGTTACTATGTCGTGGATCTGATACAATATTAGGGGAAACTTCGGATCCAAAAGAGTTGTTTATTATCGATGATTGCGAGAATCTTTTACTAGGAAGTATTATCTGTAAAGTAAAGGTAATGTTATACTTTTTAGTTTTATCAGATTACATTACTATCTCCATAAAATATTTTTATGGTGTTTTTGATTTTCTGTGCGAGGTTGGTTTCCTTTATATTTTCCACATGTTTTTCTTTTAACTAGAGGAAAGGAGCCAAATATGGAATATCATTTTTATTTTTTGCTGTCAATAAGTGGTTTTCGATCAAATGAATCTAATTCTTTAAGCTAAATTGGATCATAATTATGTTCATCGGAATTATTATCTGAGGATTCAATCAATTCGATAAGTTTTTCACAAAAAAACTTTAACTGCATTGACACGTTTTTGTACCTAATACGGAATATGCACCTAATATGTATGTTCTAAATATGGAATAAAACAAAATTATAGGAAAAATATTTATTGACAACTCAAACTTTTTTCATATTCTTATAAATAATTTTAAATCTTTAAGAGAAAGGTACCTTGCAGTTTTTTAATTTTCTTTGCAGAAATCACATATGAATGTTCCCGTTTCTGCCCCTGCGCAATCAACATGGCACCACTGCTGATAGGACAGACAGCGTTTCCAATTTTCGCCTCGAACATCGTTTAAAAAACTTCCATCGCAATAAAAGCATACTGCATCTGGATCTCCTAAATATGTTATCCCTATTTCTGTGATGTTATCGTCAGATGATTTGTCATCTAAACTCTCGACGTCAGACTCCGATGAAGAGGACTCTTTACGATGTGATCGTTTCATCGTTGATTTGGGAATATTGACACCACTACAAGATGGTTGTGAATGGGATAGATCGAATATCACATTTCGCTTTGCCATATTCTTTGATTTGTTTGATAAAGGAGAATTTATTGAATTATTTAGGTTTTCTTTGTATGGGGATGAGGTTATAACTGCAGCTTTTCCTAGTGCTCTTCCTCTTTGAGGTCCTTTTTTCTTACTTAATGTCGGCAAAGGTGATATCTGATGAGGCTCGATAAACGTATTCCTTTTTGATTGGTCAGTAGTCCCATTTTCATCATAAATTTCGTTTAATGGAATGTCAGATTGCGATGCCTCTTCAGCAGCAAGGAAATCGTGGTGTTCGAAAACATTGCGATTTGTGGGATATATGCCGGTTTTCCTGAAGCCATTAACGGCTATTGCCCCAGTTTGGACTTTCAAATAAGCCCTACCAAATAATTCAGAGATGTCGAAAGGTGTGACAGCCCTCTGATTGATTCGAAGAAATACTCTCAATTCCTCACTATAGTGAGATTTTAAAGGCCCTATGAAAGTTTTATCCAACGGCTGCATATAATGGGTAGAGTGGATGGGGGGCAGGCACAATATCTCCACAAAATTTTGTCTTGCTAAATCGATAACTTGTAAGTTGCGACAATGCGAATGGTGCCCATCTAAAACTAGCAATATTGGATCACTTTGTGGTGGTCTTGTTTTTTCTATGAAGTGTCCCCCTACACTCATGCATAAAACAGCTGTGACTAGAGATCCCCCCTCGGCAGATCGAGCCAACTTGCTTAGCACCTCTCAAAGCCAGAACAGACTGTATCTTCGATTGGACGATAGACAACCCATTCTCGTCAACGTTAAAAACTCTATCTGCAGGATATTGATGCTTCTCGAATGCTAACTCCAGAAGATCGAAGAAGTGGCTAACATTTTCCTTATTGAAACCTTTAGCCCGATGAATTGAGGTTCCGGTTGGCTTTCTTATAGAAATTGCACTTTTTTATGTCTTTTTAGAAATAAATCTAGCCACTTTCTGCCAGCACTTTCAGTTTCTTTCGTAAATGGATTTGGTAAGTTATTAGCAGCAGCTAACTGGAAAGCCATATGTTTAACATCCCGTCTAGTTAATCCAAAGAACTTCTTTTCCATTAAAAGTAAATATTCTACCAATTTTGTTTCTAAATTTTCTGGTAAAACAGGGGTCTACCTAATTTCTTGTCTACAGCATCATTAGGTTTAGATGCCAATCGAAATAAAGTGGTACGGGGTATTCCAAAGGTGTCTGCTGCTTTTTTATATCCCATTTCTTTGATCCTAACGGCCTGAATAGCACGTTTCATGTCATCTTTGTTCCACGACTTTCTATCAGGATTTATCACTTTTCTTCTTCTGTGGCATTTTCCTGCAACAAATAGAAATGTAATCTTCAAACCAAACTAATTACGAAACTCGATAAGTAACATAATAGATAGATATATTTGTTATATCATATTATGACAAAAAAATGTTCCGAATATGGAATATTCCATATTTAATACCCTCAAGTATTCCATATTAGGCACACTACAATGTTTGAATTTCCAACTGCAATATCATTACATGCGAAAAAGATATAGAGTTTTTGTTTAAGAAAACACAAGAAAACATGCCTATTACATAATAGATGGGTGTCACCAAAATTATATTTCATGCAGAACTTATACTATTCTTGTTCAAAGTACTTGAATCTAAAATAACATTGAAGGCAACTGTACTCACATTACGAACACTAGATCAGAACTGAATGCTGTCACGTTACTACAGCCAAAGGTACCTTTTTTGGGTTGGATAAATGCAACGTTGCCGATTAACTTTTCTAGAAAATACGGTATTCCATATTAAGAGCATATTCCATATTTGGCTCACTTCCTCTAATACTAAATCTCTTTACAGATTTGTCTGCTTAAAAAACAGAAATCTAAATTTAAAGTTTTATACTTTAAACAAAAACACTACCTTCTTCTCACATAACACGTGTAGATAACCTACAAATGTTCAATGTCTGCCATAAACGTATATTAATATATATGTCTATGGTCGCTGAAGAGCACTGTTTTCATATACAGTCGGTATAGCAGACGCATGCGATTCGTTGTATCGGACGCATAAGGTAGAGCGCTTGTATAAAGTTACCATTTGACGAGAGCACAGTGCGCCACTTGTGACTTCTGCTTGCATCCAACACAAAAAAGGATCTGCACCTTAACTTGGTCAATAATAATCCGAATGACATAAAATTTTGACAGCATGCTTTTGAAGTTAGACATTATCGAAATATCATGTGGATAATTCATTAGAGGCGCCATCTAATGGTCAAGCCCGGGAATTATTAACCAAAATTTCATTGAAAACATTAAATAGAGTTAAAAATTGTTACTATCTGACAAGTCATGGTATCCCTGTTATTTTTATTAATAATTATATTTTCTAGGTAATATTTCGCCGAATTCCTGACAATTGGTCATCATTAGGTGGTGTACTAAGCTTGGAAGAACAATTCGAAGATGATGACAAAACGTTTTATTTTACTAAAAGATTTAATAATAACAGATTCGAAGATCTTGATTTTGATCCAGAAATAAATATCGGCTGTTGTGAAGCATGCAGGTAATATAATAAAATCATTTATTAATTCTCTGTCTAATTAAATCTTTTAGCAAAAGTTGCTATCGCTTTGTTGAATTAAATGGCCAAATATATGGCCTAGGAGGACAAATTCGTTAAACTTCCAGTGTTCGAATCGCTATCAATCGAATGTATTACTCATTTCAGCATTCCTGCTTCATCAGACACTCGGGCTGATACAAATTTAAACTCGGAAAGTGCAACGAATGTCCTCTAAAACTGGACCACTGCAGTGGTTAGCGTACAGAGGTGCTACCTGCTGTGGTGGCTATGAACAAAAAATCGTTTTCTATCCTCTGGCTATACGAAATTTGTAAAAGATTAAATCTTTTAGCAAAAGCTGCTATCGTTTTGTTAAATTGAATGGCCAAATATATGGAATTAGGAGGACAAATTCGCTAAGCTTCCTGTGCTTGAATCGGTATCAATAGAGTGTTATGACTTATTTCAGCATCCCTGCTTTGAATTTGTATCAGCCCGAGTTTCTGATGAATCAGGGAGGTTGAAATGAGCCATAACACTCTATTGATACCAAACTCCCAACAAGATTAAGTTAAAAAAAGTTTGGCAAATACAATTTTAAAATTTTGGAGTTTTTCAAAATATAGCGTTACCACATCTAGTGTACCCATTTATTAATTTTATTCATCATTACTCAGGTTACGAGCTTCTTATCAAAGAAATAAAATTTCCACCTTTCATTTTATAAATTTTTTTATATTTGTTTAAGGCGAGAAGAAATATTCCAAAAAATGGATAGTCCCACTCTAGTAAACAATTTTATTACGTGGAAAAATGAAGAATACAAAGTAGGCACAGGGGTGTTTTTAGATCCAGAAGTATACACTTTCTACAACTTCGCAAGATTTCATGAACGTGTAAGTATTGTTTTGTTTAGTTATGAAAATAGGAATGCTAGTCCTCATCATTCCATACTTATATTTCTCCACTTGTTTCAATTTTAACTCTGCTAATATTCTCCTTAAGAGTCTTGTTGCATTCTATCGTCTTCTAAAATTGGTTCTTCTCTGATGTTCATTCTTAGATTTTGAAGTAGCGACTCTTGTTGGATTTTGTGGTTCTTTATAAACCACCAAAATTTCAGATAGGTCCATTAATTAGTTTAAAAATTATTCAATTTGTTTATTTTTAGAAATATATTTTTGTTATAACATTGTTCAGAAACTAATGAATTTATATTCATAATTCTACAAGTACCATATGAAAGAGAAAGATTGATACTGTCAATATGTATAAAACAAAATGAAAAATATATTTTTCAATGCAAAACTTTGTGGGAAATAACTCGTCATTTTTAACTTATGTTCTGTTGCTGTATCTGTAGTATATACCTAACATTAAAATAACTTTAGACCTATTTCTTGTAGATTAAATATTTTTCATATTCAAACATCTGACATTTTTACACGAATTGAAAAATTATCATAATAATACACAATAATTTGCGCCAGAGTTAGTTTTTTTTAATTTACATCTAATTTGTTTATAGCAGTTAAAAAAGTCTCAGCAATTTAGCGTCATTTTGAATATATGGATTCAAAGGATTCATGGGCCATAAACATAACCTATTTCTCATTGTGTCGTATTTCGTCGCCAAGTTAACTGGCGTTTGGTTGCTGTTAAGCTCTTCTTATACATTTTTGTGTAAGATATTTGAGGAATTCATGCGAAAATTCGTGAAAACCGGGAGCAGCATCACGTATTCATTATCCTTAGTTCCTTTTAACAAGTGGACAATTAGTTGATTTTTTTTTCGAGAATTTACAACTAATAATTGAATGTTACAGAATGAAAATCAAGTAAATGTATTCTTATACCCGGAATATTTTCGCAAGAAAACAGAAAACGTTAAAGGGTCCAATGATAGCACAAGCGATCCATTTGTTATCGGTTTGATAGAAGACATCAAAGAATCAAAGAGTGAGGGTATTAAGATCGTAGTTAGAGTTTTCTTTAGACCGGAACATACTTATATTAGCACAACTATGGCATACAACAAGGACTTGAATTACTTGTTTTACAGCGATGAAGGTAAGCAAGAACGACTTTATTGTATATTTGAATATTTCTGGAAATAAAAAACAAAAAAGTTAAAAAAAGTAATAAAAACTGGTAAGCTATTTGAAATTGACAATAGAAATTGCTAACAAAATATTAAATTTTCTCAATAAAATATCCTAATTACTGGAATATCGCTAGAATAAGAATAAGTAATTTAAACAATTTTATATTTTGAAATGATAAATATTCTGTGATTAATTCATACATTGTTAGTATTGTGTTTGCTTCTTTCAGTAATAACTGTTCCATTTAGCAAAGTTGAAGGAAAATGTTATTTGTCGTATGGGTATAATTTTAAATCTATAATTGAATGGTCCGAACAGGGCCCATACCGGTTTTATTTTACTGAAGCTTATGATCCAGAAAATAAGATAACAAAGGAGCTTTGTGAAAAGGCGAAAAATATCGGCATAAGAGGAAAAGGAAAAGGTAAATTTCATAATAAATCTTTACTTACAACTTTTATTTACTTCTGCAGTTGATTTTGAAACTATTTACAATAGAAATCTATTTAAGTAGATCCCACTGGTTTTTATATACATATTTGTTTATGAACATTATCGTCATGATGTTATTTCAAGATTTATGGTTTTTAGGGGACGGAAAAGTAAAAGGCAATTCAAAACAGGAAAATGATTTTACAGACTTACCACCGATATGGGATAAAATCGATAGGCCCTTCAAGTGCATGGATGTATTTGCTGGTTGTGGAGGTCTTTCAGAAGGGTTGAAAATTAGTAAAATTGCTGATTCCAAATGGGCGGTGAGTAAGCATTAATTTATATACAAAAAGCTTACCACATACGTGTATTATCTTTACTGCTAGCGTTATATATGAAATAATCATAAAGTATAAAAAAGTTGAAATGATGAAGCGGTAAATATTGATTGTTGTGTAGTATTGGTTGCATAGTTAATAGGAAAAAAATTTGTATCATGGAAAAACCACAGATCTATAAATTAACATAGACCGAGCATACCGACAGCGCGTACTGACAACCAGATCTCTTGCGGTTGTTCGATCCGTCCCTTTCTAGCTCATTGCAACTCCTCACTGTTTCTCTCGCTGCCAAAAAGAGAGCTATACTTACTTGATGTATGACATAGACTCAACGAACAACGAAAAAAAGATGGTGTCGTCACTTAGGTATACAGCATCTAGTTAGAATCAATGTATGAGCATATTAACGTGTGTATTAAAAACGGCGTTAGTAGGTGTGGCTAACGATCATACCAATATGGCGGTGGGATCAGGGCCTGACTCAATAATATTAAAACTACTATACAAATTTGACTAGTTATTCAGAAGACTTAATCATAATCTAAACAGGTGCAATACATTTTTAATCATCTATGATTTATTCATCCCGCGGTAAACACTAAAAACACGACATATTATACATAAAGATAAATTAATACAGTCAAATAATGAGCTGTATGTGAAAGAGATAATAATATAAATAATATTTTAAAATTAACTTACACTGATACTTAATTTGAAAAAACAAAATTGAATATCTGCCGAATATCACAATGGAAATACTGTGTAGAAATAAAAAAAAATATGTTACACTAGTTAATAAGAAATTTTAAGATATTTAGGATGCAGATATTTGAGTATTCTCAAGAATAGCACGATCTACCTTACTTATAAGATTTTTTATGAATACTATTAATTTATTCTCTGAAGTACGGGCCATTACTTTGTTTACATATTCGTATACTAACCTGTGGAACTTTATTCCTGAAGATTTTTTTATTACATTACTTCTGCTACTGTAACTACGTTGAGAACAAGAAACCATTATTATGCACTATCACAATATGTATAATATTACAGTTTTTATAAAAATATTATAAAACTAAAAATATTCGAAAAACAAAAAAAGTAAACAACCATACATGATCTGACACAAAGATCATACCAATGTGGCCGAAGTGAGGTCGTTTTTAGTCACGTGATGACCTCTCATAGATTCTAACTAGATGGTCTACACTACAGACTGCTCAGGCTATGGAATGATGAAGCTGAGAGTGGTGTCTGCAGGATACGAAATGTGTGTATTATTGGTTGCATAATTAATAGGACTGATTAGTATGAGCTTCTACCAAGACATGATATAAAAATAGTAATCGGTGATTGCAATCCAAAAGTGAGGAATAGAAGCTATGAATAACGTAATTTCCTTATGGAGGATGATGGCGTAATGATAGAACTGCCTAGTGAAGGAGAGATTAAAAATATAATCAATGGCTCACAATTAACAAAAGAAACAAAATAGCCGCGGAAATGCTAAAAAATGAACAGAAGAACTGCCAAAAAATATGTATAGTCTTATCAAGAGGATATGGAAAGAGGGAAATACGCCCAAAGATTGAATCTAAGCTTTATTAAGCCCCATATACAAAAAAGGAGATAGATTGGCATGTGAAAAATACAAAGGTGCTGCTAAATACTTGTCAGTATGCTAAAAGAGACAGATTTGCTGATGATAAACTAAGTGAGTATCAGGCCGGTTTTCGAGTTAAGAGATCAGTGACAGATCAGATTTTTTTACACTAAAAGAAGTCTAGACTACATGCTGTGAATATAAGGTAACCTTTGATGCATTGTTCATAGATTTTATACAAGCGTATGATAAGACAAGAAGGAATAAAATGTATGAAGCACTGAGCCTTGGACATACCCGCAAAACTTGTTAAGTTATTAAGAGTGACTCTGAATAGAACACGAATTTAATTAGTACTGAGAGAATATGTTAAGAAAATGTGTTTCGATGGCTTTTACGATTTAAAAATCGTGTGTAATTAAATAAACGTGTCTTACTAACATAATGAAAATAACCCGATAGATAGCTTCTCAGAATAGTGTCTTATGTTAAAGTAAAACATGTGCAAACTTATATTTTTTACTAAACCATTTTTAGATCGAGAAAGAAGTCTCTGCAGCAAATGCATTTAAGCTGAACAATCCTGATTGTAAAGTGTTCATTGACGACTGCAATAATTTATTAAAGTTTATAGTCAATAACGAAACCAAAGAAAAAGGTTTACCTGAAAAAGGAGAAGTAGAGATGATAGTAGGGGGACCGCCTTGTCAAGGATTTTCGGGAATGAACAGATTCAAATGCGGGGATTATTCTTCGTTTAAGAATTCTCTTGTTGTTTCCTTGCTAACCTTTTGTGAATATTATAGGTAGGTTACATGTTTCTGAGATTATTTTATTTTTGTACTTTTAGTTTATGTACTATATTGAATTAACTACAATTTTAATAAATAAAATTATCGTTTGAAGTTTTTTCGAAAAATTTTGAGTACAGGGATCATTTGTAAAAGAAAGAAAATATATTGACGAGATAAGTTGGTGCTGAATCTTGTCGGATTTATACAACTGCAATATAAGCAATAGTTAGTTATAGTTTTTTTCTTTAATAACTAATATTCTAATTAACATGCGAATACTTTTGGAAATATTTGGAAAATTCTACAATAAAAATAAATACATCATAGTGGCTTATGGTTTCTTTTTTTTAGGCCCCAATATTTTATATTGGAGAACGTTAGAAACTTTGTATCTTTTAAAAAAAGTATGGTTTTGAAGTTAACACTGAGATGTCTTCTTACTATGGGATACCAAGTGACTTTTGGAATATTGCAAGCTGGTCAATACGGGATTCCCCAAACTAGAAGAAGATTAATTTTGATGGCCGCTGCTCCAGGCAAAGTTTTGCCAAACTTTCCTGAGCCACTACATGTTTTTAATAAAAAGGCAACTCATCTTAGCTTCAACGTAGATGGATATAGCTATTACAACGGTATGTCTAGCTTTTATTAACATTTAACATAGACTGGGACTAAAACGTATCTCAATGCAGGTCAAAAATTTTATAACGTCAAGAGAAATGCTACAAATATGGCGCCAAAAGTGACATAATTTTTGGCACTGTCTTTTCCATTGCATTGAGAATGAGCTCATTTCGAGCAAAGTTTACAGCAATACCAAAGTTCAATATCTCCAACTTCTCCACAAATTAAACATTTTTCCTCATCCGCAAACACAGTGGGTAGGGAGATATAATCATTTGAATCATCATCACAAAGTTTGTCATCATCAAAATCTTCTGACGATGTTTCATCACAATCGAATTTTGGTGTCATATTTTATTTTATTTTTTTTTTATTCTTAGAAAACTCGACTTCAGATATAAACGTCCTTCTGTTTTGTTTCAATGTTTTTGATTTTTTTCTGATCTCTAAATTTCGTTTCACTGCTTTCGCTTTTTGCTTTAACTCCCTTTTTTCTTTATCATCTTACAGGATATCTTTCATTGGTGTCAAAGTCAGGAAAATAGAATGTTGCTTTCTATCCTGACCTTTTTGTTTACGATCGGTCCTGTTAGTTGGCATTGGTGAAATGTCGAGAATGCTTTTTGAAAAATCTACTTTTCCCGACGATGTCTCCGGTTGACTACGATTAATAATCTCGATAGCAGTAGCAGTAGTAGGACTTTCAGGAGGATTTTCATTAATAGGTGCCTCATTAGTAGAGGTATCATTGAGTTTTTCCGAATTTTCCTCCTTGTCCTCAACAATCATTTACTCTATGACTGAATGAGCAGAAGCAAAATCTTCTTCACTGAATTTATCTAGTTGAAACAGAAAAATTACACATGCTTTAAATCCTGCCACTGCCTTTTTAAGGGTAGCAATCCTCAAGTAAGCTTTGCTGAATATCGGAGCAATATCGTATGGAGTGATTTTTTGATGAAAATTTGTTTTCATAAAATTATCACACTGAAAGGGTATATGGACTGAAGTCTGTGCGAGGAATGGGGTGGAAGCGACACAACGTGAATGTGGTTTGAACGGCAAAAGTCATAACATGGCAAAGAAATATGGGTTCCATGATTATCCATTAACAGAAGGACATTTCCTCTTTACTTGACTTAGTGGTTCTCTGGAAATGTTTCAGCCAATCTAAAAATAAATCTTCATTGGACAACCATTGTGTGAACATCTATAAATGGCTCCAGGAGGTCCTCCTTGCTGCAACAAAGGTGACATCCGTTTCCTTGGATAAATAAACATTTGGGGCGTATATATTCCTGAAGCGTTCATGGCACACACTACAGTGATATTCTTGCCACCCTCCCAACTCGTAACTCCTCCCACTTGCGTCTGTCCTCTTGGTGCAAGAATTTTTCCCGGTTTTTGTATTGTGGAAATTCCAGTTTCGTTCATATTATGGATACGGTTCGGTGGAAAGTTATACTTAATCATTACAGTGTTTATATTTTTGTAAAACAAATCACATCGTCTTTATTAAATGCTTTGACCCTGTTCAAGCTAATGGTTTCCGGTTTTCTTAAACTAATTTTATGCCTGCTGATAAACCAATTTAACCAATCTCTTCCGGCCAACTTGGTCTCTTTGCTAAAATTGTGTTTGATTTGATGTTTTTCAGCCAATTCGAAAGCCAGTCGCCTTAGTTCATTTGTAGTGATGCCATAAAATAGTTTTGATAGGCTAACCACATGCTCTGCTAAGTTTTGTTCTTGCTCTGTAGAAAAAACGCATTTCCGACCCAATCTCGGCTTACTATCATCGTTTGCCTTTAGCCTACCCCTTAGTGTTGTTCGGGGTATGCCAAATATTGTACCTGCTTTTTTTGCGAGACACCATTTTGGCGAACTGCTTCAATAGCATTTTTGAGGTTTTGCTCCTTCCATATAGCCTTTTCTGTTGTTCTTTTACGTGATCGTACCATCTGAAAATCACAAAAAAAATACGTTGTTAACCTTTCATTTCAATAAGAAAATGCGGGGCAATACAGTCATGGCGGCATTACCCGAAGTAAAGTGGCGGAATTACCCCTGGAGAACAACATGGTGGATATATCACTACGTACGTAAGATAGCATATTATTAAAGGACATATTCAACAAACCAGTTAAGAACCTTATTATCATCACCCTTACCTCGAGTTATAAATACCGCCGAAGTAAATAGAAATATGAAACTATAACGGTTTTACTGATATTCCCACGAACTAACCTTAAAAGCGGCAATAGATCAAAATACGCTCAATACAAAGCTATGTCTCAGCGTTAGCCAGGTGAAAAATACTCGGTGACGGAATTGCCCCGTATGACGGTATTACCCCGTCCTCCCCTATAAAGAAGACCTAGAGCAAGATATCCTCCTAATTATGTTGGCAAACGACTTCCATTTGGTGGTGAGACGATTCCTAGTTCCGCGGGAATCTTTTTACAAATAAATAAAAAATCATTTAGGGAAAATAATACTGAAAGTATTAGAATATCTAGGAAATATTGATTGTTGAAGAACAAGAGAACAGTTTGATAAAGAGATGATATTTAATCCATGAATGAAACTGAAAAGCTGCTAATTTTTGTGATATTTGGTGATTATAAAAAATGTGTGACATAAGCAGTTTGAGTAGATTTTCTATAAACACAACAGTTGAATAGGTCATTGAGTCTGGTAATAGAAAACTCAAGGAAATTCATATAACCATAAGATTGTAGTTATGTACCTATTTTATTGTTAGGGCGAGCTTGGTTAATATTTTAAGAAGCAATATTTTGTGTTATTTATATATTTTGTTTATATTTATTTCTGTTTTAGAATGTGAATGGACAGACTCAGCCCCATATCGAACGATCACTGTAAAAGATGCTATATCTGATTTGCCGTCTATAAAGAACGGCTACTCTAAAACTGAATTACCCTACGACTGCGACCCAGAGACACATTATCAAAGGATGTTAAGAAGCAACAATAATACTCTAGTTCGGGATCACGTTAGCAAAGAAATGTCGGCTCTAGTCGAGGCTAGAATCTCACATATACCGACTTATCCAGGAGCAGATTGGCGAGACTTACCCAATATTCGAGTTTCGATGCCTGATAGTACACAAACTTATCTTCTGAGATATCCCTATAGGTACCTAAATTCCTCTTTTTATTTTATATTGAATAGTTATTAAAAAATACCGTTATCAAATAATGTGAAGCTGTAAAACATAACTTCTTTTATATTTATCTATATTTCTCTAACTTCTACCTTATTGTCTATTTTAATATGTCTACCATTTTTAAGTATTGCATCTCTCATATTAATTCTAACCAAAAATGATCAGAGTCTATATATATATTCTTTCTCCTAAAATGCGTACTTATCATTTTTATCCTGTTTGTATTTTGCGAATGTAATCAATTATCATTTGTATACATATGTTTATCTTCGTTTTGTGGTCGCCTATAATAATTTAAATATCTTGTCTGGGCATTTCTTCAGACAATGACTCTAAAAATGTAATTCATAAAATTCATGTCAATCAGCGATATAATATTCACTTTTCCTTTAATTCTAATTGCACACATTCTGTCAGATTTTGTTACAAATCGTTTTACCTGCTCCACGTCTTCATGTACCAGAAAACCCACTCCAAAATAATATTTTCCGCCTCCACTTGATAAACATGTATGGGACTAATCTTTTTGATGTTGTTTCCTGTCAAATATGTTTCATGTATTGCTATGGCGTGTATTTTATATTTTTCAAGTTCTATCAGGTTAATTAATGTTTCTTCTCGTATACTCCTCGTACATTCCAACCCGGATCAAAATCTGCAAACTAAATATATTTATATTTTAGCTATTAGCCGCAAGATGGTGCTGCAGAACTACGTAAAAACCTCGAAATGAGATCAATAATTTTTATTAGGATTTGTTTGAATTATATAAATATCAATTTTCTGGTTGTTTGAAAATTTGTGAATAGGTTTGCGGCAATTTTTTTTTTTATCCTAGAAAAGTCTAATAAAAGCATAGCATAGAAACTGTAGGTCCTGCGATACGAATAATTTTTTGATAAATTTGATACTGAAATTATACGGTGTTTGAAAAATATATTACCAAGAGCATAATTTATAATACCTTTCAAGACAAGAGAGAGAGGCAAGAGATACATGGAATACGTTAAGGAACTTTTGACTTGACAAAATACCCATGAAAGGGTAAAGATAAAACCAATACAAATAGCCAAGAGGGTAGAGTTATCTATCTACATAAATGCCATAAAATCACTTTACAAAGACAATGAATGTAGACTAAAAGTCAGACAAAACTAATCAGAACGATTAAAAGTAGATAAAAGACTTACAAATAGATGAAACACTAACAAATTCAAACGAGAAATGTGAACAGATAGAGCAAAAATTGACGATAACTATATCCAGAGCCTTTTATTTGCCGATCACCAAATAATTTTAGCAGAAGACAAAGATGGCATCGTCTACGTAATAAGAAAGCTCAAAGAAAAATTTGCAAAATGGGATTTAGAAATTAGTTATGATAAAACGCAACACACGGTCATTTGAAACACCGCAGAAGACCTGGAGGTGAATAAAAAATAAATGCATTGAAGAACAAGCTGCAGACTCACCATCTTTCTGAATGGCCTCTTTCTAAAGGTACTTTCATAACACTGGCTTTACAACCCTACGTGGGCACTAGTCTCGTATGAAAATACGCGAAGAATGGATGAAGACAAAAATAATTCTGGGAACTTGGAAATGGAAACCAAATAGAAGAAAGGAAAAGAGGACATCCTAGATTGAAGCAAAGCGGATAAATAAAAAAAAGTAATGGAAAAAAAGCCCTCATTGAAAAGATATATATGAGAAGAGAACATGGCGATTGCGTTGGTGAAAAAGGCTAACAAAATATGCTGTATCAAGCCACCGATAAGTAAGTTATTAAGTATATACCGATAAAAAGAAGATCTACATATTTTCTGTAGAAAATTTGATATTTTTTAGAAAAATTTCCTATCCCAGAGATATTTTTTTTGTAATTGATTGATCGTACATTTCAGAGTTAACAAATCGAGAGGAGGCGTATGCCAGTGTATACTTGGAAAACCTTGTGATCCTGCAGACAGACAAATATATACCTTAATTCCTTGGTGCTTGGCTCATACCGCTGACCGTCATAATCATTGGGCAGGACTTTATGGTAGACTTGAGTGGTTTGGATATTTTGGTACTACTATTACAAATCCTGAACCCATGGGAAAACAGGGTAGAGGTAAGAGAAAAATATTTTTTTTTACGTAAATAGAAAACGTTGTTTAGATATCAAATTTTTTGTTCAGTATTTCTAAAACTTTTTTTCAAAAACCTGTTCAGAATTCTCTGCTCCTCATTATACTTTTAGTTACTATTGATTTTAAGAAAGAAATATTCTTATTCATACATCTTTTGCCCTCTCAGCAGTCGGATTGAGCCTAGTATTTCTTGTTATTGTTTGGTCTTTCTACTTATTACTTTCCTCATTACATATTCAGAAAATATTTTGTATAATAATGGTGATAATATGCAGCCTTGTGCAGTTTCCTTAATTTTGATTTGATATTAATTTATTAATAAACATTTAAATGAGGGAAAAATGTTAAAATAGAATAAATTGGTAATCTTTTTCAAAAATAATTCTACCAGTTTTAATTTTGCGCCAACGGGAGGCTTTGGTAGTGGATAATTAGTGATAAATTTTAAAACGAATTTATAGAATAATTCAGTTTGTTTATCTTAAATTTGTCAAAATTAACAATCGAGGCGTTTCTCGGAAAAACCTCATAAGTCCAAAATTGGGATATTTTGAAAAATGAAAAACTCTCGGGCATTATCATTTTTGAGTAGATTCTTTTATTGATATATTTAGTTGATGTACAAAAACATAAGATAGTTTTTAAAAGAAAAAAGTGTCCTGAATTGAAACACCAAAACCTAAATATAAACTCTGAAAAACATTAAAATATTAAATATTATTAAAATATTTAAATATATATTAAATAATGACTAACCATCCATCATAATGATGCTCTGCCTGACTGCTCAGCCCTGGGTTCGTTCCCTGTTCATTCTCTCCTCACACAAATCCCAGAAAGGTACAGGAAATAAAAAAAATTACGAAGTCATAGTAAAGGTATATATATTGATTAAATAATAATAAACAGATTTTATATTATTATGAATGTGAATCAAAAATAAATTTTTAAACATAGACTCAAAGATTCTGCCGGTTGCCGGTATAAAATAACTAAAGTATAAAAAAAGTACTCTTTGTACGATCTTTGTGGAAGTTAGCCGCTGTCGGTGGTTGTTAGTTGGGTTAAGGGGGTTGTTGGTCTAGATTAAAGCAATCATTTTTTTCCCCATGTTGGTAAATGGGTTTCAAAATATATTCTGATGCATCAGTGGATTATAGGTAGTATGGGTGGTTGCTGATTGTTTCCCCAAGGTAGTGTAGTTGGCTGTTGTTTGCTTCCTAAGGCAGTGTGATTGGCTATTGCTTGCTCCCGACAGTAGTGGCCGTGTATACGCCTTAAGGTCGATTTAGACACATCAGTCACGTCTCGTCACAGTCCTGGTACCGAACCGAACAATCCGTTATACAAAATATTCTTTAATACAAATATGTTGCCGGCATTCACACTCATCAGTTGACAAACAGTTTCCCAGCTTTAGGGATAGTTCTGTGACCAAACAGGACCGGTTCGGCGCCGAGACTATGACGGGACTGATGTTTCTGAATCGGCCTTAAGACACTAACCAATTTGTGTGACTGAAGTTTGATTATAGATTGATTATGATATGATAAAGAGAATTTGTATCGGCCTATATTGGCGACGTGCAAGTACTTGGAGGGGATACGAGAAACGATCGTGCGCGAGTAGTGGAGAAATCTTGCATTTTTTAATGCACATTTCATAGATTATAGATTTCATAAATTCATATTGTCAATTGTCATATTTCATATTCGTTTTGTTTATGCTACTACAAAGAGTAAAGTTGATTTATATTATAAAAAAGCATAAGTAACATAACCTAAATTATTCATTATTCTTGCGTCCAATTTTAAAGTCAGTTTGAAATAAATATTAAATAAAAGTTCACTTTTAAGTGTAAATTTTAGTTTCATAAAACTCACTTTAGAGTTCATTTTAACCCAAAAAATCAAGTTTATTGTTTGAATTTTATTTTTTTGAAGTTTACAAAAATGCATCAAGTTCAAGTTTTCTGAAGATGCATTAAGATATATTCGCTGTCCAAAAGTTTACAGGGAAAGAATTAATTGTTCAAACCAATATGATGATATCATGGGCTTAACCTGCTAATTTATGCATTAGCATTATTTATGGTAATTTATTTTTCTTAATTCTTATACTCCACATAATTCTTCCATTCTTTTTTGACACTTGCCACTACTAAAGCTTTTCCCTTTGACTCGTGCTTGGTTGAAAAATTATTTGGTGATTTACTTTCTCAAATCCAGTTTTTATTATTGCATCCATATTAACAGTAATGCTGTAATTCAATAATATATTTATTTGTATTTACGCTACATCAACGTTTACCTTTTAATAACACAATGACGTATAATATATAGACTACGCAGTCCCCTATTTCTCGCTATATAATCGGGTCTCCGAAAGATCTTTGAAGGTATGTTTACCAGAACAGCGGCGTACTCATTTATATGTTAATGACAATAATTATTTTTTTAATTAAAATGAAATATTTATGATTTCTTTTAGTTCCCGTCTATAAGAGAAATAATTATTTTGATAAAATAATAAGTAAATAACTCTCAACAATTTAAAATAAAATTTGCTTGTCACGTAAAATATGTAAACACACAAAATGGAGAAAATGTTTTCATACGTCCATGATGTTTTTCAAACACAAGATCAACTTCGTGAAGCTTCGTAAGCATCGAGTTAGAATCTTTCCTAAGAAATCATGAACTTGGTGCATCTTCGTATCAAAACAATAAACAATAACAAAGGTATTGTGTTGTGGACATTTTGTAAAGCGTTCACCGGGTCTATATATTATACGTCATTGTAATAACATACCGACGTAACCTCAATCTTACTTTTTCTTCTTATTCTTTTTTGGGGCCACGTCCTTGACAGTTATCCGGTAACCTCGATCTAACATGAAAGCGCAGTAAATTTTTCTGATTTACGACACCAGGTGTCGCTGTTCCGAACTTGCACGGTCCCAATAGGATGGA